CCGGTGGTCTACAGCCCATGGCATCGTAAAGAGTCAGACATGACTGAAGTGAATCAACATGCATGTAGAATTTACCTTTTTTTATTAATTTATAATTTATTTAATTTTTAATTGAAGGGTAATTTCTTTACAGAATTTTGTTGCTTTCTATCAAACCTCAGCATGAATCAGCCATAGGTATACATATACCACCTCCCTTTAAAACTCCCTCCCATCTCCCTCCCCATCCCACCCCTCTAGGTTGAAACAGAGTCCCTGCTTGAGTTTCCTTAATTGGACCATAACAGTTTCACAACGCTATGTTAGTTTCCATTGTACAGCAACATAAGCCAGCCATATGTGTACACGTATCCCCTCACTCTTGAGCCTCCCTACCCCACCGCCATCCCGCCCCTCTAGGTCATCACAGAGGACCGAGCTGAGCTCCCAGTGCTATATAGCAGGCTCCCGCCAGCTGTCTATTCTACACACGCTGGGGTATAGATGTCAGTGCTGCTCTCTCAGTCCCTCCCACCCTCACCTTCCCTTCCTGTGTCCATGTGTCCATTCTCTAAGTCTGCATCTCCATTCCTGCCCTGCAAACCAGTTCATCTGTACCATTTCCTACGTTTCTTTGTTTTCATCCTATAACTTAGAAAGAGGCATTGATTTGGAAATTGTGCGTTAACTTCTATATATTCTATCTCCTTTCCCAGGAAGTCTGCTCCCTGGATGATGAACTCAATCTGTCCTCTTCCTGCTGAGTTCTGAGAATTAGGCTGTCATTGGATTTAATAATCGGAACTTACTGAATTCAGGACAAAGCATGGACAGGAGGAATCTTACACAACACACGTTCTTTATGATGCATGTGCCAGTAAAAGCTGACAGAACGTGATACGAAATTTATTATCCAGTCCGTTACTGTCAGATGAAGGAGACCTCAAGACTTTCTTCAGGGCAATGAAACTTTTGCAGATTTGGTGCAAATACCTTCAGAAGAAAAGGTCTGGAGTTTACTGCCATGGATGCTGGCTTTGGGTTCCAACCTGGTTATTAGCTAACAGTCACCAGTTATCAGAATAGGGTGGATGGATAGAAAACTTCATTCCTATTGCATTGACAATAAACAATTTGATCTAGGGCTGTGTCCACGGACCAAGTGATAGGCCCACAAAGGAATTAATTGTCCATCATTTAAAAACAAACAGGAATGATGAAATGAAAACAAACAGCAGGAACAATAAAACAAAAGGTGTACAGTGAGGATACACATGGACCTTTCTCTGTGGGACTTGTCCTCTCAGAGTAGTAGTGTTAGTCACTCAGTTGTGTCTGACTCTTTGTAATCCCATGGACTGTAGCTCACCAGGCTCCTCTGTCCATGGGATTATCCAGGCAAGAATACTGGAGTGAATTGCCATTCTCTTCTCCAGAGGATCTTCTTGACCCAGGGATTGAACCCAGGTCTCCTGCGTTGCAGGCAGATAATTTACCATTTGAGCTACGGGGTAGACATGTCCTCTCTAATAGTTGCGGGGAGTTCTGTCTTGTCCACATCTACCTGCAAACATCCAAGTTTCCACAAGGATTAAGAAAGTCCTGGAGGATGTCACTTCATTTCCTTTTCACATCTCTCTTCCTCTCCACCTGGAGAGAGTTTCGAGTTCTCAGTGACAAGCATCATCTCAAAAAGAAAAAAAAAAGAAAGAAAGCTTCAAAAACTGAGGACTCTATCAGGAAAATTTGGGATAAAGTATAGATCTCACTTCCTCTATTCCTACTGAATGTTTATTTCTCCTTTGCCTGGGCTGTGTGCACCTCAAATGCTTTCCCAGACATTCTGTGGAAAAATGGGGATCCTTTTCTAAGGCAAATGGGGCTCCCTTGGAATCTATGCTGAAATGTACAACAGGGTGACTCTTTAGAGGAGTCCTACTATGTGTAACCTTGCTTCCAGGTGGGGACTCCCTGCCAAAGCCATGCATGTCTACCTTCTGTCTTTGTACATTCCTGTTTGTCTAACTGAATCTTGGCAGCCGTCTGTTCCTGTGGCCACAGGTCTTGGGACAAACAGTTGCAGAGTCAGGGTGCTAGGTGACTTCTAGAGTCACCTGCTCCTGTGATCCCAAACATTCTGGAACCTTCCTCCTTGTCTGTCCACTGGGCCGTGTGACCAGGATCCCTTCTACTGAAGCAATATGCCCAAGAGTGTGACTAATGACGCTTGGACATGACTCTGGATTTTCGACTTTACAGGTCCTTTGGTCCTTCTTATCACCAGGGAACGCCCCTGTTATACACATGGTAGCCAAAATGTGCCCATCAGGAAACAAAATCCCCATGAAACACCCGGACTTATTCATTCACCAGCTCCAGCAGTGGGGACTCAGCCACACCAAAGTGTGAAGACCATGACATTGTGGAAGTAACACATCAGTGCATGAAGACTGCTTATACAATCAAGAAGAGATGATGAAGTGGGAAGGAGAACAAGTTAGAGATCATGGGGCTGAGACACTGGAAGGAGAGCCACATCCTACAGAAATCTACAGATTCCTACAAGGACTGAGGCTTCATTCTGGTCAGAGCAGCAGGTTAACTCAGGTGATTCAGGATTTCTCAGCCTCTCCATGATGGACACGACTGGATAATCCTCTGTAAGGTGCTTTTCTGCACATTGTAGGCTGTTAGGCAGCCTGATTCATTGCCGATGCCCACATGGAATGTGTAACCACTCCATCTCTGAGACCTTGTAGGCCATAAGTAGAGAATCCATGCACTGCAACTAAAGACTCTTACATTGTATGATGGAAGAGAGGCACTGTGTGCCACAAGTAAGAGATGGCAAAGCAAAGCAAATGAATGAATGAATAAATGTTAAAAAGAACCTCTCTTGGGAATACAGGCTATATATGTCATCATTTTCTTAAAAAAAAAAATAAAATAGTGGGCTTGTCACCTATTATCCAAACGTAGATTCAAAATACACTGAAACTTTGCTCAGGAATCCTTGAGGGAATTGGGTGTTTTTTGTGGCCAAGGTCGAAAGATTCACTCCATTGCTTAAGACCGGAGTCATGCAATCAAAAATATAAAAATAATGATCACGGAGAAAATAGAAAAGTAAGACATATTTAATGATCTGGGAGAAAGAGCCTCCATCGTAACAGAAACCTGAATAAATTTGAGGAGACGCCAGGAAGACATTCCACCACAGCTTAGCATTATTTGGGAGCAGTTACAAGAGTAAAGTCTGCTCAGGAGTGTTCCATTTTTATTCATTATTCTATTATCCACATTTTGATCAACACTGATGAAAGAGAGCTGGGATTAAAAGTCCCATGACTTCCTTCAGTTACAAAATGACAGAACTGTCACAACCTGTTACTCTTGGAGTAGCTCTGTTTAATGTCCCCTTGATTAGCAGTTAGAAAGGTCTTCCTAAAACGGGATAGTCCTAGGACACATTCCCAGGGGCTACATGTTAGTAACAATTCAAAAGGTAAATCTGGAGGTGTTGGGAGTGCCTAAGGAGAGACAGAAGGGTGATGGCGGGTGGATAAGAGTTGTTAGCTGCATCACATCCCTACTTGAAAATATGTGTATCAGGCCGACCCTGTCATTCCAATGGTTAAGACTCTGCAGTTCCACTGCAGGGAGCATGGTTTGGGGAACTAAGATCCTGCAGCAGCTCATGGTGGGACAAAACAACTAACCAAATGACTATCTGAATTAGAGACTTCAGAGAGAAAAAAGTTCAAGATGTTTTAAGATATGAAAACCTATTGCACAGATTTTACAGCAGAAGTTAAGAAAGGACAGCATACAAAGAAGGAGTGTGTGAACGAAAAAGAAAATATGATATTGCAACAAAAAGCAAATGAAAAATAATAGGTAAAATTGTTGGTCCATGTGAGTATGAAGGGAAGGGGCCAACTGAAGATGTGAGCTGAAGACACCCTTGAGCCAAGCTCTCCTCAAACGTCTGACTTCAATATACAACAAGGATTCAAAGTTCTGATGCATACCGGGAGCAGCCAGTACTGGTCAGGACTCCAGCTGTTCTCGCTCAACTGACTCAAGAATCCTGAATCTCTGTTTCCTCATTTCTATACTCCGATCAAGGTAAATCTGGAGGGTATCTATTTGATAAGTTATCAAGATTGAAGATGAACTTAAGTAAAATTAGATTAAAAAACACAAAGAACAGATTATTTGCCATTCTGATCATGGATATAAGTATGTGAATAAAGTTAGAAAAATTGTTTTTTTCCTTCAAAATTCTAAAAAAAAGAAAGAACAAGAACTACTGTGCTTCTTTCTCACCTGCCTGAGAAACAACTGAGTCAGTGAGTAGATAATATGCTACAGATTTTATGGGTAAACACGTGTATGGAAAATGAGTGACAGAATTGGACTGTGGGCATGCCTTCTTCAGACAAGGTTAAGGGGCATTTGAACGGATCTGCATCTTAGTTACAAGGAGGACAGATCCCACTGAGGGTCAGGAAGAGATGGTGAACACTTAGTTCTGATGTGAGCATCACCTCAGGGAAATAAGAGATTCTCCAAAGGTCTCAGAGGAAATCATTTTACCCTGGCTAATCCACACAGTCAATCTTTACTTATAGAAAACAAACAAACAAACAAACAAACAAAACAAAACCTGTAAACTATCTCCTAAATATTAAGGAAACAATACAGGAGTGGGGGATAGGTATCTTGGACAGCGTATCCCAGTTTGGTCTCAGGGTATAAAGGAAAATAAATACTCCTGACCTTGAAATATTACATGTGTTTTGTGATTTCTCATTCATTCTAAAGGGCAGATGTCCAGATTGCCTCAAGCTTCCTCTAAAACCATCCTCATGATAAAAGTGAGAAAATGACATGAAAAATGATTCCTGCCAAGCAGGATACTGAAGATGACATCTGTGTCACCTTGGTCTTAGGAGGAACAGCCATTGGTTCACGACGTATAACACCAACACAATGATCATATAAAAGGTGGCAAGTCACAACCTCTCCAGCTACTGGGACAACCTCAGCTTTGACCAAAGAAAGACTACAGGAGCGTCAAAATGAAGGTTCTGTTCCTGAGTTTATTACGTGTTGTGGTTTGTGCTGCCCAAGAAGAGGAAGCTCAGCCAAGTCTCTCAGAGGTACCAGGGATGGTCTGACCTGGGAGGAGGTCTTGGGTGTGTGTGTGTGTGTGTGTGTGTGTGTGTGTGTGATCCTTTTGTGGTTTTGTTATGTGGATGCATGAGCTGAGCCATCTCCTTCCAACTCAACACTGCTCCATTTACTGGCTCTACACCTGTTCTGTTTGGCCTCGATGTCATCTTTACTGTGTATTAGTTGCTTCTTTTGCAATTTTTCCGCTCTTGTAACATAGAAAGAGGATCCGTCAAACAGCTGTTGGAGTTCTTGCATTTGACATCTGAGCTCAAGCTATCTCGAAAATTCTCAATTCCTTATTTTACTCTGACTTCAGTTTTGCATTATTGTCAATTTTGATAATGTCTCTGATTTGCACAAGTGGTGGGAAACTAATGACCGATGCAAAGTGAAGTCATTCCGTCTTGTCCAACTCTTTGCGACCCCAAGGACTGTAGCCTACCAGGCTCTTCCATCCATGGGATATTCCAGGCAAGATTACTGGAGTGGGTTTCCATTTCCTGCTCCAGGAGATCTTCCCAACACAGGGAATGAATCCGGGTCTCCCGCATTGTAGGCAGACGTTTTGCCACCAGGGGAGATCGTGACCAATGATGCTGGGTAAAATAAAATTCAAGGACTACCGTTTTGAAGGGGAATTTTGCTGTTAGCTTTCAGGACAATGGAGAACTGCATACATTGCATCCAGTAACCTAGAGAAGATCAACCCCAATGGGCCATTCTGGGCTTACCTCCAGAAATTTCTGTTTGATGATGAACAGGGCACAGTAGACTGCTACTTTTATGGCAGGTAAGTAAAAATCACTCAGAGGGAAAATACAGGTAAACCTCGAGCCTCAGGGAGGGTGCGTCTTCCCCATCTTCAGAGAACTCTCTAGATGATGTTGAGAGCATGATGCCCTGAGATGTGGGCCTGAGCAGGGTCTCTGAAGTGGGGCAACAGTTCTCCTGTGAGCCTCCAGGGAATGTTCTGGAGCCCAAAGAGAGCCCCAGAATCCCCACTAGCATCAATTCATTATAGCAATGAGGGACACAGATATAATCTCCTTCTGTGAAATAAGCATATAATGTTACCTGTCTGTTTCCTTGTGTGTGTTTGTGTATGTCTCAATGATCATGTCTTCCAGGGTTTAATCCTCTTAAGGACACTGTGATGGAAGAAGGGTATGGGTTTTGATAAAATTAAATGTTTCTTTTCCTAAGTTGGTGATTTCTTTTCCTATCATATTACTTAATGAATCATTGCCAGGGTTGTGAGTACCTCCAAGATGTGTCATGATGGCCAAAACTCACTGTCTGCATGAAGTATTGTTTTTTTAAACAGGTATATTTTATTTTCCTAAAATTCCAGATTCTCTCATATTTGGCTTGAACATGATTTACTTTGTATTTGCAGTTTATCTTTGGCACTACAGCTCTGATTTAATAGACAAGCCTCCTTATCACTCGACAGTGACTTAGCCTTAGAGACCATGTTTCTTCTCTTTTCAAGATCACAGTGTTACAGGCACTAACCTTGCAAGCCACAGTTAATTTCTGGGGAGAAGCAAAACCTAATTTTATATCAAAATTTTCATGACTTTAATCAACCTGCTTGAATGTGTTTTGTTTTTAAGACACAAGGCAAAAGGGGAACATAAACACATCACGGTAATAAAGCAAGATGATGGTACTTATGCTGCTGACTGTAAGTATGAGTGCTTCACTGGTCAGAGTATGCTTGGGTGGGAATCTTGGCACAACTTCCTTCTGAAATCCCACACAGCTGAATTCTACTGCTATGAACAATCAGAGGGGTGAGCAGCCTCTTGTCCCTAAAATCTCCAATCAGTTTATTTTGTCATGAAACAAGGGTTCAAACACACGGCTTGGAGGTCTCCACCCAGTTGTGAGTGTTACCCAATTACATAGCATATGGAGACCTGTATTTTATATGGTTCTCACAGATAATTGACAACAACCTATGAACTGACATTGCAAGAGATGAAATTTTGCACATCAGTATCATTCACTTAAAAAAATGTATTAAAATATCTTAACCCATTCAAGGCTCGGTGGATGAACTTAAATCCAAATAAGTCATCCTGAGTTCAACTACAAAGTCAGTTTCTGTTGAAAGCCATGGGGATGATGGCTAATATTATATCTCTAGGTTCTTAAATAACAGGCCCAACATAGATTCTTAATATTACATGGCCTATGTGGCACATTTTTCAATACAACTTAAGTGTATCCAATCAAGTATATGAAAATTTGGGAATGGAAAAGTCTTGCCTGCTTCACTTGCTGTCATGACAACCATAGCATTCAGCCCACCCGTGGAGTGAGACATCGATCAATATAGCATGCATTGTTGCTACCACACTGAAAATGTCACAGTGTACCCAGCGGACAATAAATTAAGGCAAGGTTGTATATACGTATCTTTTCTCTCTCTCACAGATGAGGGTAAAAATGTGTTTGAAGTTGCTTATGCATCCAAAAACTTTCTGGTAACACATAACATCAATGTGGATGAACATGGCAAGAAGACAGTAATGACTGGGCTATTTGGTTCGTATGACATCCTCCTAATCACAAGGACAAGATCATGTAGCATTTCCATCCTATTTTCATCGATAAAATCATTGTATGGTGACAATATCCATTGCTCAGTCTACAGTACCTAGGTCTTTTTTTTTTTTCCTCCATTTATTTTTATTAGTTGGAGGCTAATTACTTTACACCATTGCAGTGGTTTTTGTCATACATTGAAATGAATTAGCCATGGATTTACATGTATTCCCCATCCCAGTCCCCCCTCCCACCTCCCTCTTCACCCCATCCCTCTGGGTCTTCCCAGTGCACCAGGCCTGAGCACTTGTCTCATGCATCCAACCTGGGCTGGTGATCTGTTTCACCCTAGATATACATGTTTCGATGCTGTTCTCTTGAAACATCCCACCCTCGCCTTCTCCCACAGAGTCCACAAGTCTGTTCTGTTCACGGAATTAAGGACTCTGGAAAGTAATCTGTCATAAAGAGGAGTTCGTATGGGTAGAGGGGGTCAGCTCATCAGAAATTTCAAAATATTTCCACCTGTGGTAATTTAAAGATAAGCTGTGTTTTACTAAATATACTTAATTTTTCTTTAAATTTTAATGGGAGGAAAATTAAAATGTTGCATTGGATCTAGTTTTCTTTCTTTCTTTTTTTTTTTTTCAACAACTCAGTTTATTTCAAGCCAGAGCTATAGTGAGGCTACTCACAATGTCTTCAATTGATACCAGTTTCACAGTAAACTCAAAGTCTTGCAATAGAAATTTGTATAATAAGTATTCATCCTGTTCAATTTTTCAAATCATCATTTTTAGGGACATTGACATCAGCCCAAACAACCATATAAAAGCACTGAACGGTGTCATTAGCATTGCAACGGCATGGGTCTATTACAGAAAATTTACTAGTGAGAACAGTGGGCCAAGTTAACAACAACAACAGCATCTTTTTCCATTATTATGTCTGATGTAGTGAACGTCTCTCTCTCAGGGGAGAACCATGTTTCCTATTTATTTGGGATCAGAACAAGACAGGAGTCGCAGGTACATACACTAGGAATTTGATAAAGAGGGAAGGAGGTTCCATACTGTCACAGATGGAACCCAAGATCCATGGAGCTCCTGTGGGTCTTTGGCTCCTGCTGCCTATGCTGGTGGGGTTTAGTTACAGAGTTGGACGGGGAATAATTCTGAAGACCGACAGAAGACAAATGTGTCATGGAAAATGGAAACTGTTTGAGGCTTCATGTTAACAAGTGAAGATCTGACTTGCACACTCAACTTATTGTTTTGTATTCAGAAATTTCTCTGGGATCTAAGATGTAAAAATTCTGTTTTCTGCATGGTACTTTTCAGTTAAACCAAATATTGAAGAGGAAGGCTTGCAGAAGTTCAAGGAGCTGACAGAAGAGAAAGGGATTGATGAGAAAAATATGAATTTCATCGAAAGTGGTGATGGAATTATACTTTTCCCTAAATGTATCATTCACTCAATAGGTAAATATATGATTAGGAAACAAATAAATTTACTGAAAATTTCTTTCTCTATAAATAATCTTTTATACAATCTCTTACTTAAGCAAAAAGAAGCAGCCCTGGAAATTCTGGGGAATGCTAGTAATCTTGTGCAATTTTTTTTTCTGTCCTTTTCACCTTCCCCAGATGACTAGCTTCCCTGAGGACAGCTACATATTTCAAAACACGCTCAGTGTAAGTGAAAAATGTCTGTTACTACTACTGTTCCCATTAAAGAAATCAAAAGGAAACATGGTGATTTCGTACCTGCCAAATTTTGTAGGTAATGGTTTTTTGTCCCAACAGCTAGCATTCTGTAAGTAGAGAACTTGGTTACATTAGGTTATCTCTCTTCTCCTGAGTCATATTAAATTGCAGATTTGTTGGCTGATTAGTCCTGAACATCTTTGGTGAGAGAGCCTTATCCTGCAGGAATAGCGCACACGAAAGTCATCAGAGAGAAGCCCAAATGGCCACAGGCTGGTGGAAACCAATTCGTCAATTCTGGCTTCGTGGTTGTCCACACACACTCCTCCTCTAGGAGAACTGGACTAAACAAAGCTCACGGCTCCTGCAACACCAGTGTTTCATCTCACATGGTTTTGATAGAACCAGTAAAGGCCTTGCAACCACACTGAAATGTGCCTTTGAATTATATTCTCCCTCAGAAAAAGACTTTAAGTGGAATCTGTAAACTTTCTAATTTAAGCCTCAGAGAGATTTGAAAATGACACTGATCTAGACTAACATGTGGCTTATAAATTTCTGTAGAGGAAAAAAAAAGATAAAAAGCAAAGGAAAATTTTCGCTTCCAGGTGAACATGATATGAAAGATGTGTTGCATATATTCAGTAGACTGTTGTTCAGTCATAAAAGAAGGAAATCATGTCGTTTGCAGAAACATGGATGCACCTAGAGATTATCATACTAAGTGAGGTGAGTCAGAATGAGAAAGAGAAAGATCACATGGTATTATTTGTAGGTGGGATCTAAAGTATAAATTAAAGACATTATTTACAAAACAGATTCACAGACATAGAGAACACACTTGTGTTCGCCAAGGAGCAGGACACTGGGTAAGAAGAGGACTGGAAATGTGGGTGTAGCTGATGTAAGCTACTATACACAAGATGGATACACTAGAAAGTCGTACTATACACCAGAGGGAGCTAAACACAATAGTCTTCAAAAAACTTAAATGGGAAAAGAAGTTGAAAAAGAATAGATATTAACATATGTATGTATCAATTATTCACCTTGCAGTAGTGCTGCACTAATACAATTCTGTTAATCAACTATACTGTAATATAACATAAAAATTTAAACGTTGATTCTTGAAGACCCCAAAGACAAAGCCATGGAATTAAGGGAGCTTGCCCCAATCACAGATCGAGGAAACCATCTTGAGATGAATCTTTGCCATGAACTTGAATTCAGAAACCATTCCCCCTAGAATCAATGTCAAGTGGGAAAGGCCGCCCCTTATGCACCTCCTGGGTAAAATTCCACAGGGACCCCCATCCACATCACACAGAAGTGGATTAGTGAGGTCCACCAGGATTCTGACATTGGATCATCTACCAGCTCCTGTACCCTGGACAGCCTACTGCCTGAGCCTCATCCCTGGTGGCTGTCAAAAAGTCAACTCTACTAATAATTTGTTTTTGTTTTATTCACCTACAGAAAAGGTCACTGAGACCAGACACGTCCTTGTCTCCATGGAATCAAGACCAACAACCAGAAGATGACTCTCCTGGTTCCTGATTAACATGATCCTTCTTTCTCCACACCCACACTCTATTTTGTGTCTCATCTCTCCTGGTCACTAATCATGTCCTGTCTGGTGGCATTTGATTTCTGAAGGTTTCAATAAATTAGTTTAATTCACAATGGAGTTACTTGGGTCTGTCCTTAAAGTCTCTGTTTTAAAACACACAAATACAAATGTTAAATTTACCCATCCAGAAACATATGCCTTTTAAGGGATAGGTGTTCCATCAGAGACAATTCTGAGGATGGGTAAATAGAGATATTGAAGGGAGAAGGAGAAAGAAAGACTAAACCATCATGGGACATGGGGCAAAGTTATGGATCCTCTTACTGCAGTGGGAGGAGGCAATCTGTTCCAGAAAGATGTCCCTAGAAAGCATCATATTCATCACAGGGAAAGGATCTTGTGTTCCACTCTCTGAGCTTCATAGACAGAAAGTGGAAGGTGCCATGGGACACAACTGAGGAAACATGCATATTCTGACCACACCAGCACTTCTGCAATTGAGCTGAGGGCTGATATTTGGTAACAATCCCTGACTAGGAATCAAATGGGTGCAGTGCCTGAGTCTCGGTCAATGCATAGCAAGAGGAATTCAGGGCAGTGTCTGCAGGAATGAGAAAGTGACAGCTCAGTCAGGAAGTTGGAATTATTCACAACATCTAAAGATGATCTTCCAACCTCTTAGGCTTAGAAGAGCAGGAGACGCTAATACCTGGAAGGACTGGACATTCCCACTGTCATGGGCAGGGAACACTGATCACCTCCCCACGGTGGTCAAGCTCTTTACAACATAGATCTAGCAGACACTCAAGATGGACAACTTATTCCAAGCATTGGGCCAAAGCTCACAGATTTGGTCCAAGAGCTTGGATGATAGTACTACACTAAGAATACTTAAGAGAATAAATGTTTCAGTTTCTACATAGACATGACCTCCAAATTGGCTATAGCTGGCAGAGTCAAAGCAGCAGTAATGAATGTTTCTATGACTTAGTTGGTAGTAATGGAGGTCAAGGACAAGGTTTACGTTCTTGCACTTCTTTAGAGGAGTGTATGCACTTGGATCTCTGACTCCAGTCTTCACACTACCTCTGGAAATGTTGGATTGAATAAGTGGAATTACACAGGCAACTGAACATTGAGAAACAGAGTGAATCTCTTAAAAGGATATTGAAGGCCAAGACGTGATATAAACAGCTAAAAAAAAATGTATAACTATCATATATATGCATGAGTTTCCCTGAGAGTTCAGTTGGTAAAGAATCTGCCTGCAATGTACGGGACCCTGGTTCAATCCCTGGGTTGGAAATATCCACTGGAGAAGGGATAGGCTACCCACTCCAGTATTCTGTGCTTTCCTTGTGGCTCTGCTGGTAAAGAATTTGCCTGAAATGCAGGACACCTGGCTTGTGAAGATATCTTGGAGAAGGGAAACTCTATCCACTCCAGTATTCTGGCCTGGAGAATTCCATGGACTGTACAGTCCAGTTCAGTTCAGTCACTCAGTCGTGTCTAACTCATTGCAACCCCATGAACCATGGCATGCCAGGCCTCCCAAGCCATCACCAACTCCCAGAGTTTACCCAAACTCATTTCCATTGAGTCAGTGATGCCATCCAACCATCTAATCCTCTGGCGTCCCCTTCTCCTCCTGCCCTCAATCTTTCTCAGCATCAGGGTCTTTTCCAATGAGTCAGTTCTTTGCCTTAGATGGCTAAAGTATTGGAGTTTTAGCTTCAACATCGGTCCTTCCAATGAGCACCCAGGACTGATCTCCTTTTGGATGGACTGGTTGGATCTCCTTGCAGTCCAAGGGACTCTCAAGAGTCTTCTCCAACACCACAGTTCAAAAGCATCAATTCTTCAATGCTCAGCTTTCTTTATAGTCCAACTCTTACATCCATACAAGACTACTGTAACAACAATAGCCTTGACCAGACGGACCTTTGTAGGCAAAGTAATGTCTCTGGTTTTTAATATGCTGCCTACATAGGTCATAACTTTTCTTCCAAGGAGCAAGTGTCTTTTAATTTCATGACTGCAGTCACCATCTGCAGTGATTTTGGAGCCCAAAAAGGTAAAATCCACCAGTGTTTCCACTGTTTCCTCATCTATTTGCTATGAAGAGATTGGACCAGATGCCATGATCTTAGTTTTCTGAATGTTGAGCTTTAAGCCAACTTTTTCACGCTCCTCTTTCACTTTCATCAACAGGCTCTTTAGCACTTTCTGCCATAATGGTGGTGTCATCTGCATATCTGAGGTTATAGATATTTCTATAGGCAGTCTTGATTCCAGCTTGTGCTTCATCCAGCCCAGCATTTCTCATGATGTACTCCGCATATAAGTTAAATAAACAGGGTGACAATATACCTTGATGTATTGTCAACTACATTGTATACCTTGACAAGTACACCTTGATGTACTCCTTTTCCTATTTGGAACCAGTCTGTTCTTCCATATCCAATTCTAAGTGTTCTTTCCTGACCTACATACAGGTTTCTCAAGAGGCAGGTCAGGGGGTCTGGTATTCCAATCTTTTTCAGAATTTTCCGCAGTTTATTGTGATCCACACAGTCAAAGGCTTTGGCATAATCAATAAAGAGAAATAGATGTTTTTCTGGTCCTCTCTTGCTTTTCTGGTGATCCAGCGGATGTATGGTCCATGGGGTCACAAGAGTCAGACACAACTGAGTGAATTTCACTCATAGATATACATACATACACTTGTATGTGTGCATCTTTTCATAACTGTATTAATTATAAGTGAATTATCACCAAAAATTACACAAATAAATAACATGACAAAATAATAAACAGGCTAATGTTATTGAAATGAGCACTTCTGTAGAAATGGACACATTACTTGAAAGCTGTGTCATGAGAATTAATGTATGATAAAGCAGAAAAATTCTACTCTCCTTTATCTGTAAAAGACATTGAGTAGACTGCTCCATAGGGTTCCCGTTCAAGAAGATTTAATTCATATCCAAGAAGTAAACAAGAAATATCACTAAACTTGGAGAAAGTCATCTACTGACACATGATCATGTGATTCACATCAAACTATTTTTCATCCCTGAAAATTGTATGAAAGTGAAAGTCGCTCAGTGGTGCCTGACTATGTGCGACTCCATGACTATACAGTCCATGGAATTCTCCAGGACAGAATACTGGAGTGGGTAGCCTTTCCTGCTCCAGCAGATCTTTCCAATCCAGGGATCGAACTCATGTCTCCCACATTGTAAGAAGATTCTTTACCAGCTGAGCTACAAGGGAAGCCCAAGAATACTAGCGTGGATAAGCCTATCCCTTCTCCAGTGGATCTTCCCAACTCAGGAATCAAACCAGTGTCTCCAGCATTGCAGGCGGATTCTTTACCAACTGAGCTGTCATTTGCTTTCTAATGCCCTAGGCAGGATTAGATACTTCCAACAGATTTGGTTAAAATCTATATGCCTGAAGAAAACCATAATTCAAAATGTACATGTACCATAATGTGCAACAACACTCTTTACAAAAGCCAGGACATACGAGGAACTTAAATGTCCACCAACACAGGAATGGAATATATGTGGTTGGTGTTCTGGTCTACTGACTCAGTTGTGTCCAACTCATTGTGACCCCATGCACTGGAAGAGCCCAGCAGGCTTCTCTCTTCATGGAATTCCTCAGGCGAGAATACTCGATAGAGAAAATGAAATACTACTCAGCCTATTCCAGTGACGTGGAAGGACCTAGACAGTGCCACCCATACAGAGCGAAGTAAGTCAGAGACAGAAAAGCAACTATCTCATATTAAAAAACATATTGTATGTGGAATAGACTCAAGCGGTACAGATGACAAGTTCCAGGGCAGGAACACAGACATGCACTTAGAGAGCAAACATAGAGACACCAAGGTAGAAGGCATGGGGTGGGATGAATTGGGAGATGGGGAATACCACCTATGCATGATTGATACTATAGATAAAATCAGTAATGAAGGAGAGCCTACTGTTCAGCACAGGGAACTCTACTCAGTGGTCTGTGGTGACCTACAGAGGAAGGAAAGCCAAAAAAGAGGCTATAAATATGTATCTATGACCGATTCACTTTGGTGTACAGCAGAAACACAACATTGCGCAAAGCAACTGTTATCCAATAAAAATTTTATAACAATTTGATATACTTACACAGGCATTTTCATTAAGGCACAAACATCCAATATACCAAAGAGTAGTTTTTTAAAAAATATCAGCTCAGTTCAGTCACTCAGTCGTGTCTGACTCTTTGTGACCCCAGGGACTGCAGCACACCAGGCTTCCCTGTCCATCACCAACTCTTGGAGCTTACTCAAACTCATGTCCATCAAGTGGGTGATGCCATCCAACCACCTCATCCTCTGTCATCCCCTTCTCCAAACATACATTAGTGTTAAATTATAAAGAGAATTATACTTCTGTTTATTTTAAATACTAATATTTCTAAAGACTTTTGATTCATAGATATACAATTGACGAATCCAGTTTCATATATTTTCTACTAAGAATGTTCATAGTTACTAGGTGGTTATTTTTATTTCTAAATCTTTCCAATCTTTTGGTCTTTAAATCAAACCAATTGTTTGTTGATGCTTTTTGTATGTGTCAATTGTTTCAGAATTTCTTTAAATGGGATGGCTATTCAAAGTGAGTGCACTTCTAAGGACTTCCTTGATGGTCTACTGGTTAGGACTTGGCCTCCCAATGCAGGGGATGTGGTTCAATCCCTGGTTGGTAAGCAAAGATTCCCACATGCCTCACAGCCAAAAATCCAAAATATAAAACAGAAGAAGTGGTGTAACAAATTGAACGTGTGTATGTGTGTTATCCACTCAGTCATGTCTGACTCTTTGTGACACCATGGATTATAGCCCACCAATAGCCTCTATCCATTGGATTTCCCAGGTAAGAATACTGGAGTGTTTTGCCATTTCCTTTTCCATGGGATTTTCCTGACCGGAGGGTTCAAACCAGTGTCTTCTGCATTGTGGCAGACACTTACAGTCAGAGCCACACACAAGCCCATCAGACAAGATCGGGTGCATTCAGGGCCATAGAATTCTATGGTCATAGAATTTTGACAGATTCAAACAGCCA